CCCCCTACTGGAATATTTTATTATTTAATTTTTTTTGAAGGAAAACATCACAAATTAAAGTCAACTGATAAGGAACAAATTGAACACTCCTTAATGCAAAAAGAACTCTTAAAAATGAATTGAAAAATCTAAGCAGAAACTTAGTGAAGGACATGAACAGATAAGTCACACACCCAAAGAAACACACATGGCTAATAAGAACATTCTAAGATGTTGTTGAGGGGGGTAGATGGGGAGTTGGCCCTTGGCTCCTGTCTCAGGACCCCTGGAGATCAGCTCCACTGCTTGCCTGGTTGTGGGCAGGGGCGGGGCTTGAGGCCCACAGCCCCCAACTCAGGACTACAGATGGCCGGCTGTGTTGCTTGCCTGGTTCTAATCTGTTGAATTTTTAAATTTCACCAATTGAATTTCAGTTTCCAAGATCTTTGTCTTTTTAAAACATCACTTGAGGCCTGACTGGTTAGCTCAGTTGGTTAGAGTGCAGCCTTATAACTCCAAGGTCACAGGTTCAGGTCCCAATACTGGCCAGCCACCAAAAGAAAAAAAAAATGACTTGGTTTTCTTAGTAGCCCNGGTCCCAATACTGGCCAGCCACCAAAAGAAAAAAAAAATGACTTGGTTTTCTTAGTAGCCCCTTCTTATTTTGGGGATGCAATGTCTTTGAATCTTTCTGAGGATACTGATTAGAATTCTTAAAATTACCTCCGTTGCCTGAATTTCATATGTCCTGTGTCCTTATTGATTCTACAGTTGTACCTTCTCCTGACTGCTGGTGAGGAAGGCTCCCTCCTTCACTCTGTCTTTTTCTGTGTTTGTTTTGGCTGAGAAGATATCTGTTCCTGTGATCTCATCTGCTTTCCATGTTCCCAGAAATTTGTCTAAAAATGTTTTAACCTCACTTTGACAGTTAAAAATTTTTTTCTATCATTTTATAGAAATTTTGCAGGGGAGGAGGAAAACGAGCAGACCCAGTTCACTGCCCTAACCTGTCCCCACCTCTCTCACTCCTGAAGAGTACTTTTAAACTGGCTTTGATATTTATTACTTCAAAACAAAACAGCAGTCAAAATGGCAAAATAATAAATATCAAAGCCAGTTGGTACCTAAATATTATAGCTTCTGATATTTTGAGTGAATTTCCAAAAAAGCTGGTCTGTGATTTTCAAATGTAGTTATCCCAAAGAGGCCAGAAAACAGCCCGATCTCCAGGAGGTCTCCTAATTTCTCTGCTTCAAAATACAATTCCCAGGAATAGTAAGGAGAATAAAAATCCCCTTTCCTATGACAACATGACCCTGTAAGTTCTGGAAGGCTCTAGAAACCTCAGCTTATCCCCGGTTTTCCCCTGGCTCTCCTTGCAATTTTTTTATTTCCTACTAGGGCCTAAATTTCAGAGAAAGCACATTCTAGGAACAGTGGTCATAATCTATGAGTCTCAACTGTTCCTGTGATAAGAGGGTTCTCAAACCTCATTCAGGGACGTCATCGAGAAGACCCCTATAATGACCTTAAGAAGGGCAAAGGGCGCCTTTCCCAGTGGGTGACTATGGGGTCTTTTTGATGAAACCCAAAT